TGATGGCAGCCATGGCCGACAGCCGGATGTGGTGGTGATGATTGTTGAGTAGAATTGAACCAAAAGAAAGTGGAAGAAGAAGGGAAAAATTAGAGCTTACTTGATAAAAAATTAACACCACTACAAACCTTCCCTCTTAATGAACGATTCCCTCCTACACAACCTTCTTCTTTCTCCTTCCCCGCCACTCATGATCTCTCTTTCTCGCATTCTCTTTGCGCCGAAGTCCAATCCCACACACTCACACAATGTAAAAGAAGAGGTCATGGATTGGACTACACAATGGATTAACGATTTGAAATTTAGCTACAAGGGAGGGCTGATTATGAGGCCTATCAAATGACTTCATGGGATGTGATTTTCGAATTTCCATAATTTACCCTCAAGTTTTCCATAATGGCAGTTTTATCCCCTCAAAACAAATACCTTTGCAACACGAGGTTTTTAAGTTGGCAATTTTCACCCCTCTTCTGGAAAATAATTACAAATCCCTCAAATACTAAATTTTTATAATTATAATCATTTATTTAGGTTATATTACTATTCTTTCATCATTTCTTCTAACACTTATAATTATTTTTATTAATTTATTGAATGAATATATGCCTATATGCCTTTATTAAAATAGCTAACGGAAAACAAGGCGTTACAATAACGCCATCGAAATATTACTTCAAATCCTTAGGTATTTCATTAAAGGACGAGTATTGACATTTGCAAGAATTTACAGTGACTAAAAGAAAGTAATAGACTGTAACATAGAGAAATGATTATGATCAAGCACATCGAATCGAGTCACTTTACTGTCCTTAGGATCATAAGATGACGTGTTCTCTTAAATGTTAAGTCTATGGTCTTATGATTGAAATTATTTATACAATGTTTCGTAAAATAGTTCTAGCTTATTTAAATATAGAACATTTCACATGTTTTCTATTTAAAAATAAGTCATGAAAACTTTGAAACTAGTATAGTAACAATAGTTCAATGTAGATTCGTGTTGGATTAAATGAAATTATGGATTCATCTTCTTAGACGTATGAATAAGAGTTGTATTACCAAATATCTAGTTGGATTGGATTTTGGAATTCATTTGACCTCAAGTCTTTTGATAAATGCAAATCTTATTTGTCAAGAATGATGATACTGACACCATCTAGTGGCATAGTATCTATTGGAATTAGTTTACACTAATAGGTTGTTCAGATTAACCATGATGCATGTTGATCCAAATGTCCAAAATGTTTAGATCATAGTCTTGAATTTGTGAATGGGAAGTGCATATTATTCAATTAGATAGAATTTTGGAAGTCATTAGTCCACAAGTTTTTTTGACCGATACATTTCTCATAATATCAAGATAAATGATGAACAAATTACTTCATGATGCTATATCTATTTAATCAAGCATAAATCGATCAATTTTATAAACTTCATAGTCATACATTTTCAAGGAAAAACTGAAATTGCTTTTCATAAAACACCACTCTAGACTTCTAGCTTTAGAACAAATGGTTTTATGACTTTATCTTTGGTAGAATAATATGATCAACTACAATCTAAAACAAAATAGTAAATTGCAAACTCGCTCCCTTAATGATGCTAATAAGCAATCTATGGTACTTGGAATTACAAGGGGCCATATGTACTTTTGTGATATGTCGGAGAATGGATGGGTCGAGATTACCGGTGAATCTTGCAGAAACAATTTCCCCTGATATCACAGTACAAAATAGGATAAAGATCGTTAGTCGACGTCCGGGAGGGGATCCCGGGACGAAGCTCCGACAATCTAGTTAGTATGAGATCTGAGAGAGATGGTAAGTGATTACAGAAAAAAGAGAATTTCGTCCACTTCTTTGTGAGGAAGAAGGATCCTTTTATACCTGTCTCAGAGGCGTGTCTCTCAACTGATTCTGTTGAGGATTCTCTCGTGAGGTGCGACGTGGCGGACCCATATTGGAGGGTCCTCCATTACGTCTTTTGCCTCATTCTCCCATTGGCTGGAAGGAGATCTTTCAAATGTTCACAAAGATCGTGGCTATCGTCTGATGAGCGAGTGAGACTCTCTGATTGGTCCCACGTTTGCCAGGGTATGATTTCCCGGAGAAGGGGTTAAGGCGCGGCTCTGCACCTTAACCGCCTTACCAGCGCCCCTCGTGTTGGTGAAGGCCCGGACTTGGCTTTAGACTGGGTTTTGACCAAGCCAAGCCCGATGTCAGTTTGACTTCTCTTTTGACGTTTCCTGGAGGAATACGTTAACATGTACTTTCACAAAAAATTACCTTAAATCTTGCCAAGATTAATCTCAAGTTTTGTAATGAATCTAGAAACAAAATTGTGAAAACTAGAGATAAACAACTAAACAACATTATTAAAAATTGATGAATTAGAAAGTTGCAATTTCATTAGAAAATCTTTGATTAAAAATACGAGAAATACAAAGTTGAGTTGTCCTAGACTGAATTTTTCTTTGTTCATCGTCTTGGAGTTCAGATAGAATCCAAATGCGAGCTCCATGAAGGCATTTTAGGGCAAAATTAATCTGATATATGAATCGATCATCTACAACTAGGGGCCATTGAGTAGAAGTATAACAGTGGAAGACGAGGATTATACCCTTGTTCCGGTTGAGTGGTCGAAGGAAGATGACAAAGTTGTGGTCGTCGATAGCAGCAAGTCGGAAGGAGATTGTTGTGATAAGAGGAAATCCTAGCAGGTCGGAAGGAGATTCTCTGTGGAGGCATGCATAAAACAATATGACAAAATGGGAAATCAAAGGTTCTCTTCAAATGTTATCTCGATTCATCTATTTTTGAGAGGGGGGCGAATCATGTAAAATCCTTGGACCGAGTCCATGAATTTAATAGCCATATCAAACATGCTAAGGTTATGTTTTACGTGCCACATCTAGCTGATAAGTTAGCTTATTTTTCGAGCTTTTTTTATGTTGTTGTGTTTGACAAGCCAAAAAATAGCTTATAAGCTAGCTTTTTGAAAAAGCTACTTAGACTAGCTTTTTTATGAGTTTTTTTAAAATTTTCTAAATATACCCCTTAATTAATTATAGAAATAAATACTTTTAAATGTATTTTTATGTAATTTTATATATTTTAACTAGTTTATCAATCGATATTTTTTATCAATTAGCTTTTTAGCTATCGACTAGCTTTTCAGTTAACAATTAGCTTTTTAATTAGCATGCCAAACATAACCTAAATAGTATTTTTTTTTCATTGGACCGGTTAAAAGCTATATCAAATCACCCTAAGTTAGATCAAACCAATTATAAAATAAAAAAAGAGTAAATTACACGATTCGTCCCTCGTCCAAGTGTCAAATTGCGCGTTTAGTCCCTATTTTCAAAAATTAACTCGGACCGTCTCTGTAATATTTTTTCTCACTCGGATAGTCCCTAGCGGACATAAAATGACTATTTTACCCTTTCTAATTAATTTTGATATATTTTTTGATTTATTTGTTATTAACAATTCAAAAGAAAAATAAAAAATAAAGAAAAACAAAAATTGGGCCCCACCACCACAAACACTTATCTGTTACCCTAACCCCACTCATACCCACATCCTTCGATTATCTTCTTCAGTTCATCTTCTACCTCCGGCCACCGCAAAATACCACTGGACCACCGCACACCACGATCGACCACCACCATATTTTCTCTCAAAAAACCGTTGACGGGGATGACGCAATACACACACACAGAGAGAAAGAGATGGAGATGGAGCTTCCATCGCCACCTGTTCGCAAATCTACACTCCAGGTGGTGGTTGTCGGAGGTGGCTTCGTCTTCTTCCACCCGAAAGAAATGTCCCCACCCTCATAAGTCGTCTCTTTCATGTCAAGAACATCACCGGAAACCACCACTGGAAAAGACAAAGAAGATCTGAAGAAAGTCCCCCTGGAAGCAGTCACCATCATCCTTCTCTCTACCCCCATCCACTATCTCCCCCTTTCTCTCTTCTCTCATCTATGTGAACCCGTTAGAAACCGCCACCATCTCTGCAAGAAACCACCACCATATACTCTGGAAACCGCCGCCATAGATTTGCATTGCACTAAGAACCCTAACTTCGAGATTTTCCAACAAACTCATTTCAGAAATCATTTTTGAAGCTTCTTAACACTCTTGACTTCCAGATTTAGATTCAAGATTTCTAGATTTGATGTTTCATTCCCCAACTTCTTTGATTTCCCTTCATCCCCAACTTCTTTTACAAATTTGGTGTTGATTTTGGTTTCGGATCTTGGGTTGTTTTGGTTTCAGATTTCAAAAAATTGGTGTTGATTTTATTTGGGTTTGAGTTTTAGATTTTGGTTTTAGTATCACGTTTCAGATTATGGTTCTAGAATCAGATTTAGGGGTTGTAAGAGTAGTCGATGGTAGCTGCAGTAGGGTCCGGTGGTGGTTTCAGGAGGTACACGTTTGATTTTGCAATTCTGTACTGCTCGATTTCTTCAAGAACCTCTTGAAGTGTTGTATTTTGATTTTCTATTTCAGGTTTTTGCTACATGTTTTAGGATTATTTGACTTTGATTTACGATTTCTGCAATGATTGGTTGATTTTTATTTGCAAGAATCTCTTGAGTTGTTTGATTTTGATTTTCGATTGTGTAAAAAAAACTATTGATTTTAGTTTGGGTTTGGATATAGGTTTCAAGATAGTGAAGATGGAGTAAACAAGAAGGTGGGTGGATGGCGTTGGTGAATCATTTCTTAAATTATTTTTAATAAATTGTAAAATAAATGATAAGTAAAATAAAAATAAAACAGAAAGGGTAAAATAGTCATTTTATGTTCGTCAGGGACTATCCGAGTGAGAAAAAAGATATTACAGGGACGGTACGAGTTAATTTTTCAAAATAGGGACTAAACACGTAACTTAACACTTGGACGAGGGACTAATCGTGTAATTTACTTAAAAAAAAAAAAGTTGGGTGGAGAAGAAAGTGCGTTGACCCTTTTCTATAAACCCCTTCGTTGTCGAGAGGGAGTATTTCGTGAATATCCCCACACAACACAGTAGAAAGTGCAAAACAATATGAAGTGCCCGTACTGTGCGGCGGCTCAAGGGCGGTGCGCCACCACATCTGCTGGTAGATTTATTACGGAATGCATATCCTGTGGCCGAGTCGTGGAAGAACGCCAAACCCAATCCCATCACCTCTTCCACATACGTGCTCAAGACTCTCCTCTCTGCCTTGTTACCTCCGACCTCCCCACACTCCCCCACTCTATCATCGACCAATCCACCACCACCGCCGTCCCTATCTCGGAGGAAGAAGAAGAAGACCCCTTCGAGCCTACCGGATTCATCACCGCCTTCTCCACATGGTCACTCGAACCCTACCCGGTCTTCGCACAATCATCTCTCTCGTTCGCTGGGCACTTAGCCGAACTCGAACGCGTCCTTGAAACAACGTCCTCCTCCTCGGCATCCGGTCCGTCGGTGGTCGTCGATAACCTTAGGGCTTATCTTCAGATAATCGACGTCGCTTCAATACTAGGGTTGGATTGTGATATTTCCGATCACGCGTTTCAGCTTTTTAGGGATTGTTCGTCAGCGACATGTTTGAGGAACCGGAGCGTAGAGGCACTCGCCACCGCCGCGCTTGTCCAAGCTATTCGAGAGGCTCAAGAGCCCAGAACTCTTCAGGTATGTAAACTGTTCATAGTTTTCCGATGTTTGATTCAATCGAGCATTTCAAATTCATAACTACATACAAAATTGTATAATTAAGGATCAGGGGTCGCATCTTTTCAATTGAACTATGAAATTGAAATAATGACTTAACAATTGATGGAAATTCCATGAATCTGAACATTTTGAGATACAGTCATACTGAATTAGGTTTTAGAAATATAATTATTTCAATTTCATAGCACAATCAAAAAGCACCAGTAAATCGTATAGATGAATCCACCATCTAGAAAAATTGCAGCTTGATTTTGTAGTTCAAGTCAAATCTTATTGAACTGTAACAAGATTAAACCTTTCAAATCCGCATCACGTATCACAGTTGAAACATGTGTTTTTTCTCACCTAAATGGCATGTTATTTATACATATTATAAAAGGTTTTTTGTTACCATTATGCAAGATCTGCAATTGATTATTACTATTAACAGTTGATATATAATCAAAGCTACAAAAATATATATACAGATTATAATGAGGTGTAAGTGGTGAAACTGAAACAGGAAATCTCAATTGCAGCCAATTTACCTCAAAAAGAGATTGGAAAGTACATAAAGATTCTTGGAGAAGCTTTGCAACTAAGCCAGCCATTAAACAGCAATTCCATCTCAGTTCATATGCCTAGATTCTGCACTCTTCTCCAGCTTAACAAATCTGCTCAGGTACTGTTCCAACCGCGTGTGCAACCGTCGTTTTTATGTTGAAATTACCGATTTACCCTTTAGCAGTCGATGCTAGATATTCTCAAATCCAATAAAAACTTCAATATCCTATTTCCAGGAACTAGCAACACACATTGGTGAAGTAGTAATCAACAAATGTTTCTGTACACGTAGAAACCCCATCAGCATATCCGCAGCTGCAATCTACTTAGCCTCTCAACTCGAAGACAAACGCAAAACACAAGCCGAAATATGCAAAGTCACGGGACTCACGGAAGTCACTCTCCGTAAAGTCTACAAAGAATTATTAGAAAATTGGGACGATCTTCTTCCTTCAAATTACACGCCCGCGATACCTCCCGAAAAAGCGTTTCCTACTGCCACCATTGCGTCTGGGCGCTCTTTAGCACCCAGAATCAATGATGGTGTGGATACTGAAATAATTAAAAATATAGAAAATGACACGTGGAAGTTTCCGGTGGGGACACAGGAAATGGATGTGGATGGCGGCGGTGGTGGTGGTGCGCGGTTGTGGCCGCCGCCGGTTTCGTCGTTTGTTACACCGGGGAGTTCTCAAGGTAATGCTAGGAATATGCAAAAAGGTGGAAGGGGGTTTGGGTATTGGGGATCTTAATAGACATGGTAGTGATAATAGGAATTAATGTGTTGTGTTGTGTGTGTGTATATATAAGATGTTAAAAAGGATTATTGTTATAAATGGGTAACAAACTCTTTGTTTTTTTTTTCATAAATATCAGTTAATAGTAATTGTGTAAACAAAATTTTAGTGTCTGTTTTCAGTTGCCGTAATGATTTTGGTCTATGAGATTGTTTAAAAAGTGTATTTTCAGTAGTTTGCTATTGCAGTTTTGGTGCTGGACCAAAGTTGTTACAGTAATTGAAAATAGGATTAAAACTGAAGCTTTTGAACAAACTTGGGTACAAAAAAGTTAATTTACCTGAAAATTTAGTTATTATCTGATGAAATTATTTCGATAAATCTGTTACATCAACAAATAGTATAAAATTTTGTAATAATGGTACACAGAAAATACGACATTTCGGATTGATTATTTAAAGTAAAGAAAAAAACAAATTAACAATATTTTTAAGTTTTTTTTTATTATTATTATTTTTTTATTTTAAAAATTAGCCAAATTTTAAGAAGTTTCTTCTGTAATTACTAATTTTGTAGTGCGCACAATGAGTTTTGGCATGGCGAAAAATAGGTCTTTAAATACAAATATTTTTTTTTTCACTTTGTCTCAACTGTGTATCCAATTTTTTGTAAAATCTCTCTTAACTAAGACTCCCATTTATCAATATCAGACTTCATTTTATAGTGAAAACTATACCATAAAAAACTCCATTTTATAGTATAGTTATTACAAAATCTGCCCAGTAAAAAGTAACATCAGCCCATTTGTGTACTTTTTCGCAGCCCATTTTAGTTTTTAAAATCAGCCCAAGAAACTTATTTTAGTGCCATTCTTGGCAGGCCAATATTGTACGTTCAGCCTACCATGGAAGGAGCGCCACGTTTTCCACACATAAAAGAAAAAAAGGATCGGTTATTACAAAAAGAAAAGAAAGAATAAACACATTTTTTTTGTAAGGGTGGGGAGTGATATTCACGCACGACTGGGATATGACAAACCTATTTACATTATAGCCTCCTAGACTATTGAAGGACTTACACACTTTATGTTACATCAAATAATATAATACACACTTAATAATTATTCTATCTAAATTTCCTACCGACACATAAATTATATAAACAATAACAAATCTTTTCCATATTGAAAGGCCATATGTCTTCAATAATGTGTCTTCTTTAATAATGGCTTCTTATGTCATTGCTTACGTCATTCCTCCCGCTTCCGAAAAGACATGGTTTTGAATAATGTTTGCTTGTGTCATGGCTGTTGTGGCTTCCATTCTCTTGTTAATGTATCCGCTATATGATTGTTGGTGCTTTTAATATACTTGAGGTATGGATGAAATTGATGTAGTTGTAATACACACTTAATAAACATGATAAACATCATAAACATAATAATGAATAACCATTATTTCTAAATATTCATATTTAAAAAAGCTATCAACAATTAAAATATTTATCGTAAGAAGATTTAATACCATAAATATGTCTCAAGATATTTTCAATTGTTAAATTACTTTTATTTCTCCATGATAGTATCATTTCGAATTGTTTTTAACTATTAATTCTACAAAATTTGAAATTTTTATTAAAATAATACTCGTTCTTAATAATCAAATTAATCAAATTCATGCTTGAAATATATATTTATGTCTAACAAAATTTTGATGAATTCTATTCCTAATAGAAATATTATTTTAAGAATACAGCAAATCCAAGAATCTATAAATAATTCTAAGAAAAATCTCAAGGATTCTTACAAACCTAATAATCAAGGCACGATTTTAAACAATAACCATATTCATGATGTTAGATATTTTCATAAGAACTAGTATTAAAATCCGTTACAAGCAAATACGTCGTCTAAAAACAAAACTATTTGTATTTTAAAACATATGTCTTTTAAACATTATTATAATTACCACTACTATTTTTTAAATAAATTTTAATCGTAACTTTAAATCCAAAACGAAACTAAACCATTATTATTATAAAATTATAATCATGAGTTTTTCAAACCTAGATACAAATAAACAAGAATTAAAATTTTTTCGTAAAACATTGAAACAATCTAAAAAATTTCTTTTAGATTTAAAAATAGATTCTGACATATCAATGATAAATTGTATATCTAATATTGAAGCAATACATATAATAAATAATAGTATAAATTGGAAACAAGAACAAATAAAAAACCTTGAAGATAAATAACAAAATTAATTGTTAAATATGATAGAAAAAACAACTACTTCACTAGAAAAAAGAAACTAAAAATTTTATATATGGAAACTTTACAAGAAAAAGTAGAAACACTAACTAAATTATTTGCAGCATTAGAAATACCATCTGAAACTCAAGAAAATAATATAGAAATAGAAAATAATTCAGATGATAATGATGCAGAAGTAATATATGATTTTTCTTCAGATGATGAAAACCCTTATTCAAATCCATATAGAGATTCACAAAACAATTTTGGATTAAAACGAAAACAATCATATGTTGAAGATGATTATCAAAGTCAATATATTTATGGACCACCTTCATTAGAAGAAATTTTTTTATATAGACAAGGAATGGTTAAAAATAAACAAAATAAATGGGAAAAAATACCTCCTCAATACATACCTAAGTTATTTACATTTCCAACAAATTCAGATATTCTTTTTATTGATTGTGACCAAAATCCTGAAGCAAAAATTCAAGAATGGAGTAATAAAATGGGAGTACAAATTCAGTTAACCGAAGAATTAAGAAATTTACACCCAAAACATTTTCTTATTATATCATTCATAAAACACAAGGTAACGCATATCGTTTCCTTTCATCTCTTGATGAAACCGAAACAATGATGATAGCCACCACTGATGCTATGGAAACATTTAAAATGTATTAAGCCGTCTTATTCAGGAATTCATAGGAAAACAAATTGAAGATAAATATCAAAAGAAGCTTTTCAATTAGAATCACTATGGCATTTAACTAATTTACGAATTTGTAATATGTGTTATTTAGAACCATTTATATGTGAATATTCTGAACATTATTATAATTAGATTCCATTAGAAAAAAGGCAGCATTAGATATGTTCTATCAAAAATTATCCATCATTAGTAAGCCAAAGTGTAATAAAAGATTTCCAAGAAGCATTACAACAAAATAAAGTTGCAGACACCTTAGGAGCACGAATAGCATATTAAAAGCATGGATGCAGAAAAAATGTTTAGAGCAAAAAACAGCACAAGATGCAAAAATAGATTTATGTTGTGACATCCTTTCTAACAAAGTAAATCAATATGGTTGTAAAGAAAAAACAACAAAGTAAAAAGAAATTTGGAAAAAACAAACTTATAAACCCAAATATAAAGAATATTATAAACGGGGAAAGAAAATATTTCCGAAATAGAAAACAATATAAACAAAAATATCAATCCAAAACAAATTATTGTCCATCAAATAAAAAAGACTGTAAATGTTGGATATGTCAAGAAGAAGGACACAAAGCCTATGAATGCCCAAAAAGACTAAAAAGAAAAAGAAACAATATATTAAAAATTGCATACGACCTTGGATACGAACCCATAGAAGATTCAAATATAGATTCAGAGATAGATATTTATGCATATACAACTGATTCTGATCAGATGCAGTAAATATCATATGGAAGAAGTATTATTGGAATTAGATAGTAAGGGAAACCTTATATCTAACTTATCTGAAGTAACAATATAAAAATATACAGTGATATGAAAATATCACCAAAGCATACATGATATGAAAATATCACCAAAAGTATACAGTGATATGAAAATATCACCAGAAGCATACAGTGATATGAATATATCACCAAAAGCATACAGTGATATGAATATATCACCAAAAGCATACATTGATATGAAAATTTTCATATCATCATTTGAAACAAACAAAATTCAGCAATTATTCAGGTACCCAAGAGACGCAAATATTCAATCCACAGATAATTGAAATGGAAGCAATCATGAAGCAAATCAAACACCAGTTCAAACAAAAGAAGAGCAAGAAGCATCATTAGTCAGACAACTCGAAGCAGTCAGACGAGAAAAAGAACAACTACGACAAACAATACAAATTCTATCATCCCAATCAGTACCTAAAGAAGAAGCAGCTAGCAGTTCAACAACGAAGCAACCAAAAGAAGACATTCAAGAATTTCATCCGATGATAGTCAGCCACAAACAATGCTCAAGTCAGAAAAACAACCTATAATACAAAATCCAGAAGAATATCCACCACTTCAAGCAGATCAAAATATAAAAATGGTACGTGAATTTTCAACGGAGAAAACAAAGGAGTATATGACAATTGGGGAATTGCCAGTTCATATATTCTTGGAAGAATATATTCACAAAAGTTACAAAACAAAAAATGAAGCAGAAGCCGCATACAACGAAGCATACAAGCAGTAATAAAAGATAACGTAGAATGTCAAAAACAGTTCTCCTAACACCACAAAAACCTATGACCAGCTTCACACCACAAAAACCTGTATCCATCCCAAGATCCCTTAACCAATTAAATGCAAAAATTGCCCTTGAATCCATTCTATCAACCAAAGAAAAGGAAGCCATGAAAAAACCATCTGCCAAAAAATTTGCTGAATTATGGGATAGCCTCGTTTCCTACACCGAGGTCCATTCTTAATGGGCTTTAACCCAGTAGCCAGGCGCCCAGGCCCTAAAGCAGTTTTCCTAGCCGATTTATCAGATCCTATGACTTTATGGGATTATTTTATTCATGGATTCATCGACACTATCTATCTAGAAGGCACCAATTTACACTGCATCAGCGAATTCCCCTCTGCTGTGCAAACTATCATCAGAAATTATAAAATACGCTTTGCAAACAAGAAAGAGGATTATTCATCAAAATGCATTCTAGCTACCCAATTTTTGATGAAGATTCTCAACTAATTGTCCCAAGTATTACTTTTGCAAACATGGGAATAAGCAACGGCTCAAAACAACAAAAGATGATCTACCCCGTGAATCACCAACACAAGAGCATCTAATCTTTGCACTTGCCGATGTTATTTAGCATCATCACACATTGGCAACGGTAAAGATCAAAGGTCAAGAA